TGGGACACCATATTTTATAGGTTTATAAGAGCTTACATATTTATTTATTTTTACTGCTTGAACCCTTTCACTTAAATAACTAGAGAAAAGGTCCAAAGATTTACCTCTGACACCCACTTCCTCTAAGACCTCCAACAGCTGCATATGACATACAGTGTCGAAAGCCTTTGCCAGGTCAAGAAAAATACACATCGTATGAACGCTTTTATCTATATTACTGTACAATATATCTGTTAGATGACACATAGCATCAGTGGTAGATAAGCCGTTTTGGAAACCATATTGCTTTGAACTTATAATATTATATTTATCAATGTATTTAGTTAGTCTATTTTTTTTTTTTTTTTTGATAAGGTAAACGCTGAACGACGTCGTGTCATTTTCAACCATCAATCAGAAGACGCATATCAGCGTTGTGTCACATCACAACTTCAGGAAAATACGCTCTTCTGCGTCTCTGTCCTTCAACGTGTTAATATTGCAATTGAAAAAAACGTTGTAGGGTATTCATCTGTGCCTATTTTAAAATTTAAAATAGCCCATATCAAAGTTGGCTACTGACCGTAGTTATTCGACAAATTCACTTTTTTTTGAAAAATCTTTAACAAAAGACCTTTTATTGAAATGCGTATTTGCAACACAACATTGAACAATTTTTAAATAAGAAAAAGTGACTACCATTGACGTTTTTTCCAATCGTATTAAAAAAATCCTATATGGATCCAAATTTATGGCATACGCTGTATGTATAGCTACTAATATTGTGCTTAAATGAAAGGCAATTAGGTATTACTGTGGCCCTTTTTCACGTTTTCGATCATTCTGAGTCCGAAAATGCAACAAAAAAAATGTTTCGTCTGGTCGTCTATGTGTTTGTATGCCGACACGATAACTCTAGAACGAAAGTTCTGATTGACTTACGGTTTTGATTTTCTTGAATAATTGCTCTTACTTAGAACCCTATTGATTTTCAGACTTTTCCGTTCATCCTAACTACTTTAATATCAATTTTCTTAAAATCAGCCTATGCATTTCTTATGTGACTAATTTTACAAATTCCAAGCATTCCTAACGTCTAACATTCCTAACATTTTTAACATTCCAACGACCTGTCAAACAACAGCTGTTGATGGTAAAGGTGAGATTTCTAAGGCGGGTTGCGACCTTTATACTTGCAACCATAGCCATTTTGGAGGCTATTTTTATTCGAAAATAGTCGCCAAGCCTGTCAATTTATAAAAAATATATAAACAGTTTCTTAAAAATTACTTTTTATGAAGTGCTAACTTAAGCTTACTACTATTTCGCCCCTAGTTACAAAAACTCCTTCATCAAATTTACTGGCTCTCTGTCGCAACCACATAGAATAATTAACCGTCCATTTTATTTGGCAAAAATCAGAATAATGCTTGGCTGTGCCTGTCAAGTATCAAGAGGTCAACTGTGATGTGTGAATGGTCCTTAAATAGCAAATTATTTAAAAGTATATGCTTCTTTTGATATTTATTGCAAATATTTTGTAGTGTATCTCAATTCAGGCTTTCCATAAATATAGGTACAACAAGACATGCTCTTATACAAAGCATTTTTTTTTATTATATAAAAGAGAGGTAGGATATAATGCTGGTTTTTTGTAGATACTTTTAATTTTACGATTTTGGATTACATTAAGGGGTTGAAGTGCAATATCATAATATATAATAAATGCGGGTAAAACTAGGGGTAAAATAACAATAAATAAAGGAAAATACCTACTTAAAAAGGGCAGGTTTAAAGAGTATTATTATAAGAAAATATCAGTTCTAATTATTTATCAAGTACCTATTGTTTGAGGTTACTTTTAAATATATGTTATGTTGTTTTTTTTTAATTTCTGTAACAAATCTATTAAATTTTTGCAAACCTTTAATAAAAATTGTATATTAGAAACTTTTAGTGATGACTTGCAGTACATGAAAGTCAGATTGGCTTCTTGTATTATAGTTGTGATATTGCGAATTTATTGATTTTTTTCTAATAGATCTGATGCGATATAATCATGTCATTTTTATTTTATAAATAAATATCAGTCATGTACTGAACATATTTAATTCTGAACTGAAAGACAATTTATTTCTTTTAACATAGTTGCAGTTGCAATACGCATCCTTTTGTCCTTTATTAATATTATATAAAGAGGCGAAATAAGGAGCACAAATACTTTACATGAGCAGGCTTAAGAGGTAAAGGGGCCAATTATTATTGGATAAATTGCTCAAACAAGTTTGTAAACCCTAATCAAAAGGCGATATATGGTTTTAAAAATCAAGGCTCGTGAAAATCATCACCTAATACTACTATCGGCTTTCGGTCTTTCGTTTCAAGTTAAATTATGTCTCGTTTTTTTTTTACGTTACCAGTGTACCTTTGTGGGCCTCGATAAGGTGGGAACCACCATTTTAGCGTCTCTCGAATTTATTTATTAAAAAATTGAGAATTTATTATCGTTTAATCGTTAATCGAAATACAAAAAAATCAATATATCTGAAAAATAAGTAGCTGAAATATTATGAAAATTCCGATACTAGTAGCCCCAAACCTCACAGGTCGAAGTTTTACCCAGTAAGTTTTCCACGTTTTTTTTTCAACCTGTTAGCGGTGAATATTTTTACATTTTTAGTGCCTATAATTTCGGCATTTTTAAAATTATTTTATTTATGTTTCTAAGTATATTTATTTTGTTTTTTTTCTGTTAAACAAGGTGTTTAATTTGTACATAAATTATTACTAAAAATTTTAAGAAAATCCTGAAATATCGAGTTTCTGTTATATTTTAACTCTCTTTAAACCTATGTTACTTTTGAACTAGATGAGATAATGAAATGTAATTTTCATCACTTTTCTTCTAATTTTTATATTTATTTTCTGTGTATTCCTCTTTTTTTGGTTTGCTTCCAATCTAACCAAATTTGACATTTCATATTTTCAGGGATAGGACAACTATGTTGTTTCAAATAGAATACTTTGTATATATTTTTTTTCAATTTGACAGTCCAATGTTTCCTCTTTCTACAAGTGTTATTGCTTCGTAGGGTAATAAATACTAGGTTATAATTTTATTAGCTTTCTTGTACATGTTACTTCAGTTGATATTTTTCAAAATGTACATATGAAACTTAATCTAACAAATAGTAAAATACCACTTCATTAAACAATGAAAATAATATGCAGTATTTATCTTTATGAGCTTATAAAACCATTACCCTTTGTAAAAATTATGAAAGTATGACATTATGGAAAGAAGAAAAATAAATAGAAATAACAGTTGCCCTATCTCCGAAAATACAGAATGTAATTTCTGCTTAAGCCAGATTATGGGTAAAATACGACGGGTACACAAAAAAAAATTCATAAAAATTAAAAGAAGACAGGTGAAAATCGCATTTAGATTTTATTTAAATTATATTCTGAATTTATCTAAATATATATATAAATAAGAATTGCTTGAATATTCAATTATGGTATATGAACTTTGTTATTTTATTTAGTAATATAAAACTTTAATAACAGCAAAACTCTGTTGTCTTATCATTCAATTTAAAACTAACGGCATATTAGTTTGTTTTTATCCAAATTAAGAAAACTAACAAGTGGATAGGATACATATAAGATATTATGGCATACATTATCCCACCACCATTTGGATGGCAAATCATTTTCAGAATTCATTATTGAATTCCTTATAGAATGCAATACAGAATTCTTTGTAGAATTCAATATAGAATTCATTATGGAATTCATTGTATAATTCATTATATAATTCATTATATATTCCATTATATAATTAATTCTATAAATCATTATAAAGTTTATTATATAATTCATTATGTATTTCAATATATGATTTCATTATATAATTCATTATATAATTCCTTATAGAATTAATGATAGAATTCATTATAAAATCCATTATTTAATTAATTAAATATTTCATTGTATAGTTGGTTATAGAATTCGTTACAAAATGTTAGGTGTGTTGATGGAGCTAAGAGTAGCGTATTGAGCTGCCATGAGAGAGGTTCCGGGTTCAAATCTAGGATTTGATAGATGAAATTCATTATAGAAGGCATTATATAATTATTAAAAGAATTCCACGAAATTCATTCTATAATTCATTATAGAATTCATTATAAAATTCAATAAAGAACTCATTCGAGAATTCACTGTAGAATTCATTAGAGAATTCACTATAGAGTTCATTATAGAATTCATTATAGAATTCATTATATAATTCATTATATAATTAATTATAGATTTCATTATAGAATTCATTATGGAATTCCTTATAGAATTCATTATAGAATGCGTTATCGAATTCATTATATAATTCGTTATAGAATTTATTATAAAATTTATTATAGAATTTATTATAGAATTTATTATATAATTTATTATAGAATTTATTATAGAATTTATTATAGAATTTATTATAGAATTCATTATATAACTCATTATAGAATTCATTATAGAATACACTATAGAAATCATTATAGAATTTGTTATAGAATTCATTAAAGAATCCATTATAGAATTCATTATAGAATTCATTATAGAATTCATTATAGAATTCATTATAGAATACATTATAGAAATCATTAAAGAAATCATTATAGAATTTATTATAGAATTCATTATATAATTCATTATGATATTCATTATGATATTCATTATGAAATTCATTATAGAATTCATTATATAATTCATTATATAATTCATTATTTAATTCATTATAGAATTCATTATAGAATTCATTATAGAATTCATTATAGAATTCATTATAGAATTCATTATAGAATTCATTATAGAATTCATTATAGAATTCATTATAGAATTCATTATAGAATTCATTATAGAATTCATTATAGAATTCATTATAGAATTCATTATAGAATTCATTATAGAATTCATTATAGAATTCATTATAGAATTCATTATAGAATTCATTATATAATTCATTATAGAATTCATTATAGAATTCATTATAGAATTAATTATAGAATTAATTATAGAATTAATTATAGAATTAATTATAGAATTCATTATAGAATTCATTATAGAATTAATTATAGAATTAATTATAGAATTAAGTATAGAATTAATTATAGAATTCATTATAGAATTCATTATAGAATTCATTATAGAATTCATTATAGAATTCATTATAGAATTCATTATAGAATTCATTATAGAATTCATTATAGAATTCATTATAGAATTCATTATAGAATTCATTATAGAATTCATTATAGAATTCATTATAGAATTCATTTTAGAATTCATTATAGAATTCATTATAGAATTCATTATAGAATTCATTATAGAATTCATTATAGAATTCATTATAGAATTCATTATAGAATTCATTATAGAATTCATTATAGAATTCATTATAGAATTCATTATAGAATTCATTATAGAATTCATTATAGAATTCATTATAGAATTCATTATAGAATTCATTATAGAATTCATTATAGAATTCAATATAGGATTCATTATAGAATTCATTATAGAATTCATTATAGAATTCATTATAGAATTCATTATAGAATTCATTATAGAATTCATTATAGAATTCATTATAGAATTCATTATAGAATTCATTATAGAATTCATTATAGAATTCATTATAGAATTCATTATAGAATTCATTATAGAATTCATTATAGAATTCATTATAGAATTCATTATAGAATTCATTATAGAATTCATTATAGAATTCATTATAGAATTCATTATAGAATTCATTATAGAATTCATTATAGAATTCATTATAGAATTCATTATAGAATTCATTATAGAATTCATTATAGAATTCATTATAGAATTCATTATAGAATTCATTATAGAATTCATTATAGAATTCATTATAGAATTCATTATAGAATTCATTATAGAATTCATTATAGAATTCATTATAGAATTCATTATAGAATTCATTATAGAATTCATTATAGAATTCATTATAGAATTCATTATAGAATTCATTATAGAATTCATTATAGAATTCATTATAGAATTCATTATAGAATTCATTATAGAATTCATTATAGAATTCATTATAGAATTCATTATAGAATTCATTATAGAATTCATTATAGAATTCATTATAGAATTAATTATAGAATTAATTATAGAATTCATTATAGAATTCATTATAGAATTCATTATAGAATTCATTATAGAATTCATTATATAACTCATTATAGAATTCATTCTTGAATTCGTTATAAAATTCATTATACAATTCATTATAAAATTCATTATAAAATTCATTATAAAATTCATTATAAAATTCATTATAAAATTCATTATAAAATTCATTATAAAATTCATTATAAAATTCATTATAAAATTCATTATTGAAATCATTATAGAATTCATTATTGAAATAATTATAGAATTATTTTCTTTATTACATTCATTATAGAATTTAATATAGAATTTTAGTTTATTTTCATATTCATTGGATTAAATCGTCGTCAATATCACGAAGTGACGTAACTCGATTTTCACAGTTTTACAAAAGAGCATTTTAATTTTTTTTTATAAAGTTACGTTTCTTCGTGAAATTTTCAGATACACCGGTTAGATACGTGCTATTTTAATCAATACATAATATGTGACTTATCGCAATTTTCAATTTTTTCGAGTTACGTCAGTTCGTGATATTGACGACGAAATAGTAAATTAATTATAAAATAATATTAGTGCCCGACGTTCTCATTTATTAGAACATTTTGTGATCGGCGAGAAGTGGCTAACACTAGGCTAGGAGGTGCCAATCATCTTAGGAGGATGCACAATGGGCCTAATGAGGCCAGAGTGCCGTGGGGGTAACCCACCCTCCACACGTTACAGATAGTGTGAACTAAGTTTATTAAGTATATTAAATGTCATGTCACACACATAAATTAATGAACCACATAACATTATGGTATCTATATAAATTAAAAATAAAGTTAAATTAATAAAAAAATATTAAAATTCAATACAACTTTATTTTGTGAGATAGTGTAATAAGTTATAACGATGCTAAAGACAAAGTTGCCAGACTTTATTTTATTCTTACTTTGACTACTCATATCTGGGTGAACTAAATTGAATGTTTATATATTTACCTAGAAAATTAGTATAGCGTAGTAAAATAGGGAGGCAAAGGACTTCGGAAATCTCGGAGAAGTCAGAACTTTTATAATATGCATTTAAATTTTCTATAGTATCTATATTAAAAAGCATGTATGCCGATTATAATAGTCGATCATTGAATTAATACTAGACTGTCTATTTTTATATCTAGAATGTACTTACTATTTAAATATATAATATGTCACAGGATTGTTATATTTCCATTACTATTCTATCGGAAGGAATATATCACCAACTCCATAGACAGTTTTTCTTCCATCGTCTTTATTTGTGATGCATAAGGTTTTCGTAATTGTAAGTTCCGAGTAGAAGTAATTCTAAAAAAAAAGAAACATTTAATTAACGTAGTTATGGGTAGATGTTTTCATATATTGATAAAAATATAGGTATATTTCTAACAATATATTCTGGTCACCTACGTCGTTGTAACCAAAAGTAGGGATCTGCGATTGAAAAATAATTAAATTACTGTAAAATTAACTGTTTAAACTGTTTAAATTTGTTTTAGAGCTAAGCTTGGGTAGTACCAGAGGATTTGATTGAATCGTGTGAGAGTACTAACCAGCATTACTACGAGTTATTCGTTCGTATCTATTCGCTTTGTGCGTGACAGCAGCCTAATTAATTTATGTACTAATGGACTATTATTACGTATACTGAAAATAAAATTTTTAATAGAATTTATAATTAAAAAGTATATATGTTAATTTTAATAAAAGTATATGGATTTCTAAAACAAGTAAAACTTTAATTTCTTATTATTATATATTTTTATCGCTTAAACTAAAAATATTTAAGAATAATCAATAAAAATCAATAATAAAATATAGGCAGGCAACAGTATTTACGGGAAAATGCATGAGAAATTGCCTAAGTCTAATAAGTTGTAAACGGGAATTCTCGCCTTCGGTGAGAATCAGGGGCTTAGTCCTCACTCGAGGCTTTTTTCTGTCTAGGCTCTCTATATAAACCCAAAATTTACGTGATAGTAGTACTTGTTGGAATGTCCAGGTTCTACCTTGAATTTACTAGTTCAATGTAACCCATTTACTGGAGTAATAACCTGATTATTTGTTTTATTTCCATACGTGTGTTTCTTTTTAAATTTTTAATTTAAAAACATTAAAAATATTTTTTTTATAATTTTTGGTAAATTCCTTATATTTTCCAATAATAGTGCCAATTTGTACCGACGCTTCAACTGGGTCAAAATTTCTAAAACCTGACCATGTAATATGTGATTTGTTGTCTATAAACAAAAAACCCTAGGTATTTTCTATTTTTATAATAATTTACATTGAAACCCAGAAAACCAGAAGAATCATTATGAACTCTTCGAAATTCTAATATATTTTTACAACGTCTATAGTGTAGTAAGCAACAGTAGGATCATTAAAGACAAGATAATAATTTTTCGTCTTAATAAAATTGCAAATCGCTCGTTTGCTTTTAAGTACCGCCCAGAACTTTGAGAGGAAAGACCCCACTGTATATTATTTTTATATCGAAACACTTTAGTAAGTTTTCAGAAAGGATAATGCAGGTTCATCCCTATATAAATCCGGAAAAACAGAAAAATCATCAAGAATCGCTCGACTTCCTAATGATCTATATTTTGCAAGAATAACGAATGTCTGTTTGGCTTAATTCAAACAGTACAATTATAAAAGACAAAGTTAAATGAGATTTCGTCTCTCCCAATAAAATCGCTGGAATTCCCCTCAGGAAAATACCGCCCGGTATTTTAAAATATATAATTTTTATATAGAATTACTGAAAAAATAGCACTTTTTTTTTCAGTAAGTATTCAGAAGGGATATCGTAAATTCTTTTTTGTATAAATCCAGAAAAACAGAAAAATCATCAAGAAAGGCTTGACTTCCTTATTATCTATATTTATGCAAGAATAGCGAACGTCTATTCTACTTAATTCAAACAGTATGATTATAAAGATAAGGCTAAATGAGTATTTGGTCTCAATGAAATCACTCGATTTCCTCTTAGAAAATACCGTCCGGTATTTTAAAATGTAGTTCTATTAAAATTTATATAGAATTACTGAAAAAGAATTCAAAAGGAGTAACGCACGTTCTTCCCTGTATAAATCCAGAAAAACAGACAAATCATCAAGAATCGCTCGACTTCCTAAAGATCTATATTTATGCAAGAACAACGAACATCTATTCTAATTAATTTAAACAGTAGGATCATAAAGACAAGGGTAAATGAGTATTTGGTCTCACTGAAATCATTCGATTTTCTTTTAGAAAATGCCGTCCGGCATTTTAAAATATATTATATTAAAATTTCTATAGAATTACTGAAAAATAATTGAAAATGGATAACACACGTTCTTCCCTGGATAAATCCAGAAAAACAGAAAAAAAAATCAAGAATCGTTCGACTTTCTGATGATCCATTTTTGTAAGGATAACGAACCTCTATTATGTTAATTTAAACAATAGAAACATAAAATACAAGGTTAAATGAGTAAAAGTTATTATTTTCATATAGAATTACTGAAAAATTGTAAAAAATATGACGACGACAGCAATGTTGTGTAATACGATACCCAAACACTTAAGATTTTATTTATAGTATTATTGATAAACCAACCAAAAACGAATTATTATAATACAAACTTTACTTTTTAAAAATAACTGCATTGTTTTATAAAATAAAGTAGTTTATTTTCGATATTTGTACAGTAATTATTCAGAAGGGTCAACGTAGGTACGTTTTTCCCTGTATAAATAATATTTGATGTAAATGATGAAAGATAAAAACATTACCTGTTGATTCTTCGTTAGAGATAGACTCATTTTATTTGTTTCTGCATTACATGTAACTGTTTTATAAACTTTCTTTGTACTGTTTTTATCCCGGTCTGGAGAAAAATGAATCCGTTTTAGCATCTTTAATTTTTAAATCAATATTCACTTTTAAATATAATTTAATCCATTGCTGTCGAGCACGAAAAATGGAATGATATACAAAGGTTTGGTATACGAGTAGGAGTGAATATGTGCCATAGAAAAAATACGCACTGATATGTATGTTTCAAGAAAAACTCAATGTAATAACTATATTAAAGACAATCGAAGGAAAATAATAAATACGAGGTGTGGCAGAAAAGTAATTAAACTGATTTTTTACTTTTTTATTTCTTTCAAACATCAATGTTATCCCCTTCAAAGTAGTTTCTTTGGGCAGCTACACACCGATGGAAATGTTGTTTTCACTGTTCGTAGCAGCGCTGGAAGTCTTCAACAATTATGGTTTTCAGCATGTCCGTTACAGTCTTTTGAAAAATTTCTAAAGTCCCGAAATGACGGCCTTTGAGTACATTTTTCAGTTTAGGAAAAAGGAAGAAGTCACAGAGACTGAGGTCGTATAAAGCCGTCCTTGAAAAGCTCATAAAAAGTGCAATTCGCGTGAGACCAGACATTGCAAAGAAATGGTTGCTCCATCATGACAAAGCCCCATATCACACTGCCCTCTCCATAACAGAATTTTTGACCTCAAAAGGCATTCCTGCTGTTCCCCGTCCCCATTATTCCCCTGACCTCAGTCCCTGTGACTTCTTCCTTTTCCCTAAATTGAAAAAATGTCCTCAAAGGCTGTCATTTCAGGACTTTAAAAAATAATCCAAAATACTGTAACGGACTTGCTGAAAACCATAACGGTTGAAGACTTCCAGCGCTGCTACGAACAGTGAAAACAACGTCTCCATCACTGTGTAGCTGCCCAAGAGGAACTACTTTAAAGGGGATAACATTGATGTTTGAAAGAAATAAAAACATTGCAAAGTAAAAAATCAGTCTAATTACTTTTCTGCCACACCTCGTATTTCACAAAAAGTATCAGAAAATCTATTAAATTTAATTTTAAAATAATTTACAAAATCAAAATACCATTTTTTTAATTGTTTTTCTATTAAATAAATCCATTCATCAGTAGAAACGGCTTTCAAGGCAACATTTTTCTCATCGTATATTCTGTTTGAGCTATGCCGACTAATTTAAATTTATCGCACAGCAAATTCGTGTG